GAGAAGGTAGATGACACTCCCCTAATGAATTTTCTTGTGTCAAAGAATCATCATGAAGCCTTCTTGGAATTAAGCATACTCATTAGTGTTATTCCTAGAGTCAAGAGCATATATACATGAAAGCACAAGTGGAAGCATGATATATCAAAAATAAAAGTGTTAAGAAAAATAAAGAAGAAAGTAAAGTGCAATAAAATGAAAGATAACATGGGGTGCCTCCCATGAAGCGCTAAATTTAACATCGCTAGCTCGACTCAACTTCTCAAGGTAAACCATCAAAGGATTTGAGAATGAAGATCCCCTTCTTTCCATCGACCTTTTCTTCCAAAAAGCACTTCAAGTGATAGCCATCAATAAATTCTCTTAAGCGCATCTTCACCACTTCAAAGTTTAAGAAACTATGCTCATCCAAATCAAACTTCAAACATATCCCTTCCTCAAAGCCATTTTTAATCCATAAGTCAAACAAGGATTTCTTCCTAAACATTGCTTCTTGGTAGTAGATATGAGATTGACCAATCCCAAAGTCTCCATTCTCATTCTCCTCTTGATTTCCCTTTTCTTGAGCAAGTAATGGAAACCTTGGGTCTTCGTCATGCACCAATAGGAAGTAATAATGCTTGGATATGAATATAGGCCAATGAGGACCTACACTTTCAAGAATATTGACTCCTCCCGGTTCCCAAATCACTCTAAAGTCCTCATCCAAAGGAGTGTCATTCATCGAAGGGCATTCCTCATTTGTGCCACAAATTTCATCAATTTTGTCATTCTTGAACACTTCTTCACTCTTACCATCTTCAAGTTGCTCCTTATCACCAATCCCTTGCAATTCTACACTTCTCCAACTTGGTGTCTCCATCTCAATACACTCATCATAAACCTCATCATCTTTATCTTCATTTTTATCTTCAAGGTCCTCACCCTCCTTTTCATTTCCATCAACCACATGACTTTCATTTTGCAAGAGCAACTCTTGTAGAACCTCTTCATTGGAAGATGAATCTTTAATGGGTTCTTGAGTTGCCAAACCTTGTCTTTGAGCCATCAAGTTGTCTAGTTGAATTTGTATCTCATTCAATTGCATAAGCATGTTGGACATCATGGACTTCATCTCGGCCTCTTGATCAAATGGTTGACATTCTTGTTGAAGTTCTTGGTAATGGACTTCTTGAAATTGGTCTTCATATTGTTGTTGAGGTTCTTGATGTGGAGGTTCTTGAACTTGGCCTTGATATTGGAAATTTGGATCAAAGATGTAGCATCCTTCGGCTTCATGTGGTCCTCCACATATGGCACACCAAAGAGGTTGTGGCATGAACATTGGTGGTGTACCTCCTTGAAAAGCTTCTTCATTGACATTGACATTATATTCCAAAGCTGGTTGTTGATCATCTTGATGAGGCACTTTGTAAGTGGGAGTCAAAATATGACAAATTTCCAAAGCTTGAAAAGTTTCTTCTTGAGGGACTTCTTGACTCATGTTGATACCACACTCTTGAGGGAAAGGTTTACAATCTTGAGGTGGTGTTGGGCTTGTGAAGTTTAACTTGTAGCAATTCTCCAATGCATGGGCTTCACCACAATAGGAACACCACTTGGATAAGAAAGGAATGATTGAAGTGGACTACATTGAAAGGTCTTTATACCCATTTTGATGAAATCGGGCAATGACATTCTTTGCTCTTGGAAATCATAACCCTCCATAATTCAAAGTTCTTGATTGAGTGGTGAAAGCTCTTCCTTTTCAATTAACAGTGAATGCACAAAGTAAAGATCCTTCAACCAAAACTCAATCAGGGTAAGACAATAAGCTCTTTAAATAATAAAAGCAAAAAAAAAGAAAGAAAAAGCTTAGTCTCCTAAGATTCCCTAAACTCAAATGCTAGTGCAAAAAGTAATCACATATAACCACCAAATTGCCAATCCCCGGCAACGGCACCAATTTTTTATGTAGTAGCAAAAATAAGATGTGAGCTCGGGTGTGAAATATCGTCCTCAGGGGATTGGGGGATATGGCATGCAATATGCAATTACAAGAAACTAGGCACTAGTATAAGGAAATCAACAAGAAGCTAAGCAAATCATAACGAGATTGAGGCTACGGTAACTAAACAAAGTAACACAAATACATATTAACAAGATGTAAACATGAAATAAAGAAATAGGACTCAAGCTAGGGAGCATTATCTTCTAGATACATAACACAACCGAAGGATTGGGGAAAATCACACAACCAATGAATAGAGGGGATGCACGTAGGAATCCTAGTCTATAAGTCACTTACGTGAGCAAATTAACAAGGATTAGAACAATGAATTGCCCCACTCTCGTGGTGAATCAACTCCAAGTTCTTCAAGAACACAAAGCATCAAAAGCCCCCAACTTCCCCATTTTCATAGGAAAAATCGGGTTTATGCAAGGAGTGGCTTGGAATCTTAACCCAACTCTCATTGAGGCCAAGAATCCTCCAAAACATGTCAATGAATGTTGTACACCAAGCATTAACAAAATACAAACACAAATCCTTCATAAACTCAAGAACCCTAGGTTAGAGTTCTTCCCCTTTTTGCAATAATCACAAATCAAGCATCAAGATAGATAATACAACCCTAACTCAAGTCCATAAACTAACTACTCATGATTCAATAGCATAAAGAACTGATTAGCAAAAATAATGATGTGAGATCGGGTGTGTAATGTCGTCCTCAGAGGATTGGGGGTTATGGCACGCAATATGCAATCACAATAAACTAGGCACTAGCATAAGGAAATCAACAAGAAGCTAAGCAAACTACAAGTTTAAGGAAATGATAAGACTAACACATATACACAGAGATAAATACAAAATAAAGAAATAGGACTCAAGCTAGGGAGCATTATCACCTAGATGCTTTAACAACCTAAGGGATTAGGGAGAACAACCAAGGAATCAAGCGGGAATGCACGTAGGTATCCTAGTTTACGAACCATTCTCGTGATTAATAAACAAAGATTAGAACAAGGAATTGCCCCACTTTCGTGGTGAATCATTTCCAAGTCCATCAAGCACACAAAACATCTAAAGCCCCCAATTTCCCCTATTTTCGTAGGAAGAAATCGGGTCTATGCAAGGGGTGACTTGGATTCATCACCCAACTCTCGTTGAGGCAAGGAATCCTCTAAAAACAAGCTAATGAATGTGTACATCAAACATTAACAAGATATAAACACAACACCCTCATAAACACATAAACCCTAGGTTGGAGTTCTTCCCCTTTTTTGCAATAATCACAAATCAAGCATCAAGATAGATAATACAACCCTAACTCAAGTCCATAAACTAACTACTCATGATTAAATAACATAAAGAACACAAAAACACAAGCATTAAACATAAATTTTGCAAAATAAAGAGATAAAAGGAAGAAGAACTTATGTATTGAAAATGGAAGAACAATCTTCAAATGTTGGAATCCAAGCTTCAAATCCAAGATTACAAGCTTGAAATATGTTGAGAAACCTAAATCTAAGCCTAACTAATCTAACCTAAAAATATGAAGGAGAATGAACGAGAGTGTCTAGGATTCTAACAAGAGTAAAAACCAAGTAAAAATAACCAAAAATCATGCATAAATAAAGCAGAGCACAGGTGACACGGCCAGGGACATGACCATGTCCCTGACCGTGTCCAAAACGGCAGTGCACACTGGAATTTGCACAGAAATTACACGGCCACAGACACAGCCGTGCACTTGGCCGTGTCTTTTGGCCTTCAAAACTTCGTAATTTGGAACTTTGGTCTTCATGAAAGGTGTATCCCTTCGAGTGTTCTTTATAATGGCGCAAGAATCACTTCATTTGGACATTCCTAGGCCGAGATATGGTCCAAAAACCGAACAGTGGTCAGTTTTGGATTGTCAGTTTGGAACTTCAACTTCAAGGACAATTTGGACCCCTGTGGCTTCCTTTTTAGGCTTTGATGTATTTATAAGAATTGTATCCCTTTGAGTCTCCTTTCCAATGGAACAAGAATCACTTAAATTGGATACTTCTAGACCGAGATATGGCCCAAAAACATATCAATGGCCAATCCATGCGAGAATTTTAGCTTGTTGACACTTGTTCCACTTTTGCCTTGGTTTAATTTGTCCATATGATCAACACCATTAAAAACAGCACTGTTTGGCTCCTTTGGAAGTGTTGCATCCATCTCCTTAGCTTCACCTTGGCTCCTCTTGACTCCAAATGCATCCAACATGATCTAAAATCCTTCATTTCTATCCAAAGATAATGAATTGTGCATAATGGATCAAATGAACAAAATAAAGATCATTTTGAACAACATTGTGACACTTCATAAGCAAAACAGGGCTAAATATGGGGTAGACATGAGGTGTAAATATGAACAATTATGCACTTATCAAGAACACAAAAACATAAATGTAAAGAATAAACATTGCAAGATAAAGAGATAAAAGGGAGAAGAAAACTTCACTAAGAAATGGATGGTAAATATTGGAATCCAAGTGTTGAATCCTTGATTACAAGCTTGAAATATGTTAAGAAACCTAAATCTAAACCTAATCTAACACTACAATATGAAAGGAAGTGAAAGAGAAAAGCTAGGGCTCAACCATGGGTCAAAACCATGTAGAAATGAGAGAAAACGGGGTTAAAAAGAGGCAGAGCAGGTTAGGACGGCCTCTTGGATGGGCGTACGCTAGGGGTATGATTTTTGGTGCATTTCCAGTGAAAACTGGATCAGGGAGAAGAGATGCGTACTGGCATGCGCACGGGCGTACGGCAGGGCGTACGAGGCTCCTGGAAACAGAATTCTGTGCACTTGTCATGTTTTCTAGGTTATTTTCCTCCTCTAAAACCATTTTATTTGCACTTATGGTCTTCAACAAAGTTGTAACTCTTTAAGTTTTCTTTCCAATAGTGCAAGAATCACTCCATTTTGGATATTCCTAGGCCGAGATATGGTCCAAAAACCAAACAGTGTCCAAAATGAGCGAAAATTACAATGTCTTGATCTTTTGCTCCTCTTTTGTTTTGGTTTGCCCAAATGACAAAGACCATTGAATACACCACTCTTAGGCTCCCTTGGAAGTATTTTGTCAATCCTCTTAACTTCTCATTGGCTCCCATGGACTCCTAATGCATCCAAAATGCTCCATTTGACTCCAATGTCCACCAAAATGCCTGAAAATACTCATCTTTGTTTCCAAACAAAACTCCTAGCAAAATAACACAATTTAATCATAATCTCATGAAATTTGGAATGATCTATAATCAAAATGGCTTAGTGAAAGGGAGGAAAATATTGACAAATAAACACTTATCAACAGTAATATAAAATTGAAGTATGTTGTATAATAAATTGCATTCCAAGCATGTCATGTTTTAAAAATGCATAAGTGGCCAACGTGAGCCTAAGTATTATTTTCCAAAAACTCATGAGCATGAGGAAAGTCATTATCTTGTTGCATTGAGAATTTGTTGAGAAGTTACGTGCATAAGTTGGCATAAGTAGAGGTGTTGCATGAGATATATATGCTATCTATATAAGTGAGGTTTTGGAGGACCCGTTGGGACTATGTCCTTTCGGAGTAAAAGAGAAAGTAACGGACATTGCGATCCGACAGATTTATCATGTAACGCTGTGTATTCCCACATTACGAGTTTGGAGACTGCCCGCCAGGCTTGGAATCCTGGTTAGGGGGTGTGCACACTAAAAGTACGATACCTGATTCCACAAAGAAAGCAAGCAAGAAAGAAAGATAAAGAACTAAAAGAGTGGTTCTGTGGGCGAGTTGAGTATGTGGCCGACTAGATTGCCAAGCCGGTTAGGTCCATTTACGATTCGTGAAGACCTACCTCCCCACGAGTTAGAGGTTCCGTAGCTACGGATGTGGCTGATGCATGAGATTGCACCGTACGCTAGGGCTTCGCTGCGGCGGTGTACCTGTCTCGCACAAGAAGAGAAATGAGAAGTATTAGAAAGCTTGAGCAAGAAAGAAAGTGAGTCATTGCGACTCTAAGAAAGAAAGAGCAAGCGAGTCCTTGTGGCTCTAAGAAACCTCCACATAAAAGTATTCTATTTACAAATGAGTGTATAAGTATACTTATCCTATAGTATTTTATTGCATTTGAGTATAGTATTGCACGAGATTGCCTAATGAGAATGTTTGCACGAGATTGCATATCGAGAATGTTTGCACTAGATTGCATATTGAGAATGATTACCCGAGATTGTATATTGAGTATTATTGCTTTAGTTGCATTTTGATGCATGATATTTATAGTTTGGATGATGAGAACTTGAAAGTATGAGAATAATTTCTTATTAATTGATAGCACGAAATTGCTTTATAAGTTTATCTGTTAGCATAAGATTGTTATTGAAATGTTATACAGGATTGAGATTTGCTATGTTAAGTATGTGATAGTATGAACATGTTTTTAGGTTGATATTGTTGAAGTATGCCTATTTGATATGTTAGGTTGTGAGCATGTAGAAAGCTTTGTGGTTTATATCAAGGTTTTGTCTAAGTGATTGAGGTTGCTTAATTTCATAATGTGATGTTAGTGTTTCAATTGCTCAAAAACCCCAACTTATAATTGTCAATATTATTATGGCATACTAAGATAGGATTAGCTTAGTGTCAATTTTGTTCTACAGAGGACTGATCAATCAGATACAACAACAGAGGGACTGACACTGAAGATCTGTTTTAGGAAGCTATTTACTTAAAAGCTGTACGCGGTTTTACAGAAGACAGATTTGGAAAGAAGATCAGCGTATCTGCTTTGGAAAGGTATAGACCGAATCCTTAATATTACACTCTTCAAATATTGTCCTACCATCTACAATCAAAGATATCTATGGAGAGAGTGTTCTAACTATGGAACTATAAGTATCCTCATTCGACGAGAATTAGGGTTACGCTTTTCAAGAGAGAAGAAACACTCCTTATCAGTTTTATGAGATCAGATCTTTGATTACTACTGTAACAACCCAGATTTTCAAGACGTTTAAAACTTATATAATAAAGGTAATATCTCATTACATCCCAAAGTATATCATAAGTGTACGCGGTGCTATGCCACACCTGGGCTAGAGAACCCAGGTGCACAGGCTGTCTAACTAATGTCCACCGAAATACAATGCATAATATGGCACGCAGGCCGAAAGGGAAACTAATCTACTTCTACGCTCTAGTTCTAGCGCGCTCCAGTGCTCTAGTCCTCTGTGCCTGAAAGCCAAATATATCTGTTCAGCGAGAGATGCTGGTAACCCACTCCAACGCGTTGAAATACAATACATATAGAGATATATATAGATATACGAAAACCATTATGAGCATGAAGATATATCCTACGAACTCTAGCTTTGAAAACCGGGAATGACTCGACAGATAAGGCCAGACACAAGCAACAGTTATAACGAGCATATGCAGTTCACAACAGATAAGGCAGATAAGGCAAGGCATAAACAATGATCATAACCCAACATGAACAATCCCCAATATAAATCCCATAGTCACATCCCCCAAGACACTCGTAATCACAACTCGTCGATGTCACAACACATAACACACTTTGTTGGCGCCACAGGACCAATCGCATGCCCATACATGAGGGTCAGCGCATATAACTCTGACACGGCCCCGCAGCACCCTGCCCCGTATCGCAACACGGAGGGGTCTATCGCAACCGACCGATGAACCGCAGCTCATCATAGTGTTTGATCGCAACCAAACAGTGGACCGCAGCCCAAGAGAATGTCATCTGACCGCAGCCAGGAAAAAGGACGAACCGCAGCTCGTATAGAAACGTTTAATCGCAACCAAACGGTGGACCGCAGCCCAAGAGTATCAATCTGACCGCAGCCAGCTTCTGAACCGCAGCTCAGGATAACCAATCCGATCGCAACCGAATTGGGGTAACACACACACATAACACATAGCAAGCACATGCAACCCACATTACACATTGGGAAGGGGAATAAAACGTATAACAAAACCTATGCGTGATCCATCACATACTAGGAATAGTCCTAAGGGATTCATGCTTCTTCCACCTAGGTCAACGGGATACCAATTCAACTAGCATGCAATATAATAGACTCATAAACCTACGAACGGTACCCAAAATATCAAACTAGACATCGGCACGATAAACGGAGTCCGTTGGGACACCACGGGGGTCGGGGGAACATCAAACGGGGAAGCCGGGAACCCAAGGTGGGGGAAATTCCAGCGGGTAGCCGGTGGGTGGGGGCCACCCGCCGGCTGCCCGCCGGAAAGTACTGTTCCGGGCAGCGGGTCGTCGGCGGGCAGCTGCCCGCCTGCCGGCTACCAGCTGCCGGGCGGTGTTTCACGGCCGTGGGTAGGTGGCGGGTCCCCTACCCGCCCACCTACCCCCCACTGACTCTTTTCATCACTTTTGCGCCCCGGGAACCATTGTGGAACCCGAAACCATGCTTAGATACCTTACAACGCAATTAACGACAACACGTAGACAATTAACGGATCAAATACGAGAAACGAACGGCACATAACCTATCATGCTTTTCTAGACATAATCAACACCCAAACATGCGATTTCCCCACCCCACAATCCAAGAATCATAACATACGATACAACCTAGGGTTCTAATCACTTTTATATCAACAAGGATACGATTCGTCTTCTAATTGCAAGATTCGGTAAGAATAACACATAACCGTCAAGAGCATCACACAATTATCAAGAACAACACATAATCATCAAGAACTCCATATAATCATCAAGAACTCCATAATTATCAAGAATCTCCCAATATCAAGATTATCAAGATCCCTCATGGGATCATCAAACATCAATAATCATCATCATATCTCGCCAATCACAATAATATGGGGGAAACCCTAAGGGGGAATAATAGCTATGAAAATAGGTTTTGTTGAGATATGGTTACCTCTTAGCCTTAATTAATTCCTTGGCTATGAAGGATCTTTCTTTAAGCTTTCTTGCTTTCTTGATTTCTCCTAGGGGAATTCTTGGAACTCTTTGGATGGTGAGAGATTATTGTGGTGGGAATTCTAGGTGCATCCTAAGTTCCCTATTTATATATTTAAGACTCCTAATTAGGGCCTGAATGGTATGGGTTTACTAATTCTATTCCTTATAGGACTAGGGACTTGTTTTAGGGATAAGGGTCCATGGTCCACATTGGACCATATTAATTAAAGCGGATCCTAATCATAATCTGGATAGTAAAAGGCCTACTTCCTTTATTCCTAATAGATAACTAGGTCTAGGATTCCTATTAGGATCTGAATAGTAAAAGGTTTACTTTCTTTATTCCTAATAGGCTTAAGCCTCTAATTTAGGCAAGGGTTCACGGTTCATGGTGGACCCTATTAATTAATTAAAGGGAAACCTAACATAATTAAATCATATTTAATTATTATTAGCGGGATTAATTAAATAATTAATCCAGGATTGAAGGCCGTAACACGGGGTGTTACACTCTCTCCCCCTTACGAGAAGCTTCGTCCCCGAAGCTTAGAAATCATTGTAGGGTTAACGAGTCAAGAGTAGAACGGTGGTCCTATAGAGAAGGTATTCTACGGGGAAACTGTATAATTGTATGTCTATGTGTGTTGGGTTTTTGGGAACGATTAGGTTTACAAGACTAAGAGAGTGGGTTTCAACTTGAGGACAAATTGAATTCAATAATTAGGATCAAGGTTTTCGAGGTCGCAACTTAGGTTGTGAGGTTGTCGCCTTGTGCGGAGTCGTTAAAACATGGAATCAAGAATGGGGTTTGAAGGGTAGAAAGGGTTTTGAAATAAGGACGGGGCCGATTTTCCGAGGAAGGGAAAGGAATTCGGCTAGGATGGGTTAAGGGTTCTTGATCTCAAGTGAATAATCTGGTTTGATGTTTTGATCACGATGCGTCGACGAGCCGTTGATCCTCCTTCCTCGGTGTTGGCGCTTGCTTGACTTTAAGATCCTTGTTAGACCTTGCTTCCCAGGCTATGGTTTCATCCTTCTCTTCTATCTTGAGGGAGTTTCCCGTGGTGATTTAACACTTACCTCTTTAATGCGTCCAAGGTCTTGGCCAAGTTGGGTC